CAGGCACCCTGTGCAGACAATATGAAACATAGTTGTTCTAAAAGTACTTTTTTAGAGTTCTTCTTTTCCTTTGTTTTCCAAAATCACAACAGTGGATGAGCTTTCTATATTTTAGAAGATTTTACTTTCTATGTAAAAGTGGTAGCAAATTTTAAAGACTTGTATATTTTAAGTAATTTATATTTTAAGTATAATATTTATATATGTATACAATCTGTCCCACCCTTACTAAAAAGTGGCAACAGATTTTAAAGTCCCTCCTATATTTAAAAGAATTTTTCTAGTTCATGACAGCTCATGTTTAAAATCCCAGCACTTGGGTGGCTGAGGTGGGGAGATTGTCGTGGGGTTTGAAGCCAGCCTGGGCTTAACCTCCAACCTGGGCTATGGTGAGACCATGTCTCAAACAAGGCTTTTTTTTTTTTTTTTTTTTCTCTTTTTCTTTCTTTCTCTCTGTGTCCCATCATTTACCAAGAAGTGGCAGCGGAATGGCAAGTGGCTCCAAATATGTAGTTACTTGGAGTGTCGGCAGTTCCTCGGTTCTCTAGGCCAGTTTTGATGGGGATGTAAGTGAACAGCTAAAACCTGGTGCTAAAAAGTAACTGATGTAGAACATCTCACAAAGCCGCCTCTTGCCCTGGAGGGCAGAAAACGCCTGGACCAAGCCAGTGTGAAGCAGAAGCATGCAGGCTGGCACTGGACAGGTCTTGAGTCCTTCCGTGCTGGGGCGGAGGGACACGGGTATTGCTTGCTCAGTATTCTTGTCCCACGCCTGTCCTTCCGCCTTGCTGACTTTGCTAAAGGCCATTCGTACACAGCATGGTGCGCTGATCTGTGAGCACCTGGTGAACCTGGTTTGCCTGGTGGCCCACTGTGTAACTCCCTCCGTCTCCTCCCAGGGGCTTCGGGATCCTGATGCAGTTGTTCCTTCACAGAGCCTACCTCCTCCACCCTGAGGTCACACTGTTACTGTGTGGACGTTTATTTTCATCCCTCTGTAGGGCTTAAAGACAAGCAGAAGGTTCCCCCTTGCCCAGTACTACTGAACCTTTGGACTCTCCTAGTGCAGGCCTCGGTGATGTGACCACCCACTCAGGAACAGCATGTGCTCACCTCCATGTGACTTGAGCCCCTCCCCAGTGTGCACACATCACCTCTGCATGCTTGACATCTTTACCTGCCAGATCGTCTAACAAAGTGTTGCGGTTTCTTAAAGCATGAAGTTACATAGTATTGTTCGTAGATAAATGGCTATTAAAGTTTTGTGTTTAAATATATACCATATTTTCATCAATTTAACAGGTTATAGGCATTAAATATTTTCGAGCCAAACTGCAGAAAGTTCTGGAGTTACGAAGTAAATAAGGTGGTAGTCGGCCTTCAGGAACTAGGTCCTCAGTGGAGGGAAGGTGCGGAGTATTCTCAGTGCTGTTTGGTGGTCCTGGGATGGGGCTTCACCCTGGCAGTGTCTTTTAGTGAGTTGAGTTAGCTTGTTAAAGAAGGGGGGAGGGCAGGGCAGGCACATCCCCTGGAGAAGCAGTTGAGGTGGATGGACCGACATGTATGAGGAAGCGTGTAGACAGGTCTAGCCGGGCACAGGGCTGGGACTGCGCCTGCTGTGTGCCCCTGTCATTGCAGTGCCAGTGCGGGAGGGAGGCAACGCCAGGTTCTGAGCATCGTTCTCCAATGCTGGAGAGTCGATGTTTAATGAGCCTGTACTTGATAGCGAAGGTTTACCCCAGCAGTTCCCCCCGTATCAGTTCTTTTGTCAGTGAATGTGCTCCGTTTTGGATTCTCCCGGTAGAGCTACAGCTGGTTCAGTCCCCACTGCAGGGCCACAGCCATAGTCATGTTTCTATAAAGACACGTGCTTGCATCCTAGTTTAAAAAGCAACTTGAGAAACCCTTGCCTTCGGCCAACTGTGTGCACACTTCCTAACTGGGATCTCTGAGGTAAATGGGAAAACACTAAAACCTCATTCTGTCTCATTGTTCCAAAACTCTTAAGACTATTTTTTTTCAAAGCTTTATAGAATTTTAAAATAAATGAGAATATTTTGATGTAAAGCAGTTGATGTGTCTTTCTGGTTTGATCTTTGTGGTGCTGAGGGTGGAACCCGGCTCTTGAGCTCACACACACACTTGAATGCTCACATAGACAAGCAGACGTGAGGCTGAAATGGAATCCCGTCCCTCAGGAGCCAGGTTAAGTGCTACACCACTGAGCTGCATCCCCAGGCCCGATGTATTAAGGTTCCTAGGGCTTAAACTCGGGTGCTGCCCTGTCTGCACTATGCAACAGGAGCCCCAGGCTGTGGGGTGTGACCTTATACACCGAGGAAAGCCATAGGCTAGTTAGCGCAAGCAAGCCCTGAGACTAGAGCCCAGGACTGAGAATGTTCTGAAGACTCACAGACTCCGCAGTGTAAGGGACCAGTGGTGGTCCACACACCAGAACGTTTGCTTCAACATCTAAGGCGATGTCTTCCAGTGTGGGCTCCGGTACCAGGTCCAGTTGTGGGCCGGAGAGCACGTATTCACGACTCTGAGCACCCTTTGGGCACCGGGAGTGGTGAACATGGAGGCTGGGAACAGGAGACCAAACTGAATGGGGTTGGGGAGGCAGGCGGGCAGAAGGCCACCAGCGCAGGCAAGCTCAGCCTTCTGGCCACAGGCCCAGGCAGAAGACACGAGCCTCAGAGGATCCAAGGCTGTCTCACGACAGCATGGGCGCTGACTGAGAAGGCCGAGCAGGGCTGCTGATGGAGGCCAGCCTGGACTAAGGCAAGGCCCTGTCTCAAAACTCGAGGCTCAGAAGGTGGCATCAGAACTAGAGGCTGTTGATTCCACTTTCTGTATTCCCATGCTGGGCCGTCACCTGTAGGTGGTCCTCGGACCTGCTCCACTCCATATTTCGGTGCCGTTTCCCAAATGCGCGGAGACACTACAACACCAAACACCACTCACGGTTGTTTCTGTTTTTGGTGACAGGGTCTCACTACAGAGCTGTGGCTGGCCAGGCTGGCCTCACTCAGAAACCTTCCTGCCTCTGCCTCTCAAGTGCTAGGACTAAAGGCGTGTGCCGCCACACCTGGCTCCCCACACAGTACATCCTGTCAGTCTGCCCTAAAACGCTTGTGCCTTTCTTTGTACGCAGCCACAAATCACAGGATTGTGGGTGTGGCGCTGCATGCCTAGGCCCTGCAGGTGGGTACCAAGCCCCTCCTTCAGAAGCACAGGAGTGCCACTGGCACGCGCAGCAGCCACGGGGTCTACAGCAACCCGAGAGCCTACCGAGAAAAGGCCTTCCGGCCCTGAGAGCGGAGGTACAGGCCCCTGACCCGGGCACGCCTACACCTGCAGCGGCTCTCCTGGCTGCACACTCTGACAGCCGCAGAGGCTCATCGCTGCACGATGTGGTCAGGAAGTGACCGGGCACCCTTGAGGAAAGTCCATGGTACTGGGCTAGGAAACAGAAGACAGCTGGAGGTGACAACAGTTAGGTTTTTTCAAGAACATTTATGCATCTTTTTAATTAGAGTAGCTTTACAAGCATTGTGAGAGGAGTTCACAGGAAACCCGCTTCCGAACCACAGCAGTCTGCGTCCTGAAGTGCTCCGCCTATGGTGGACAAAGGTCTGTTCTACAGCTGGTTAATGCGTTGAATAAAAACAGCATCATAAAGCTTTCTCTTTAACCAGGATTAACACACACAGGCCACAGACAATTTTAGAGTCCTGCTCGGTGTCACTAACATGAAATTGTGAGTCTGAGAGGGCTTAAGGGCACAACTATGCTGACTTCTTGAACCTTTCACAGTGACCTCCAGGAAAGCACATACTTTCCAAAAGATACATAATTTAAAGTTTGTCTGGCAAGCACGCCCCTCCTGCCACCCTCGCAGCAGAATCTGGGCTGTGGTACGTCAGGAAAGGTCCAAGGCTAAGGACACCAGGGTCTTCCCCGCTAAAGGCTGCTGCTCCCATCAAACAGACCTTCTACCACCGACGCCGAACAATCTACCCCAACTCTGAAATGTGGTGCTTGGGGGCCAGGTGGCAAAACTTGAGCTGGCCGGCTGGCAGAGGCACTTGCTGGAGAGGTGGTCGGCGGTTATCGGGGCTGAAGGAAGGAGACGGGACAGAGCTGGACTTCCTACCGTGAGCCCCTCATACAGGGACAGTGCTGAGTAACCCCCAATCCACACTTGGCTCAACTTGATTTTTCTTTCATGCTTTACATGAACGATAGCACTCTCTTAATAAGAATTACTGAGCTTTCCATAGAAAAGGTTTCTAATTGGATACAAACTACACAGGTGCTAAGACTGGTTTAAGTGAAATACACAGAAATAGTTCTGTATACACACATTTTGGCAAAGATCAAGGTCAGAGACAGAACACCTAAGGGGATGCGGAGTTCCACCCATAATCTGTGCAAAGTCTGGCTTCCTAAGGGAGCTGCACGGTGGCAGGAGACTGTCGGGTCTCATGTGGTTGTGACACTGTCCCTCCTTTCTCTAAGAAGAGAAAAACCCATAAAACAACGTGTCTGGTTCTACACTTCTTTGATTTCTAAGCTACACACATCTTTCCTTACTGGCTGTGGAAATGGCTCATAGCTATCCAAGGAGCCGGTGACCGAGACTGAGGCTGCAGCCACACACGTGTCCACGGGCCTGGGGCCAGCGGGAGCCCCAAGGTTCCGAGTGAACTAAGGAGAAGCCACCGCAAAGCTGTGACCTGAAGAAGAAAGCCCTTTGTCTTGGGAACCGGAAGCCGAGGAGGACCTCAAGTTCACTGTGCGCCAGTCACTTAGCTTTAAAAACTTCACTTAAAAGATAAACCCTTTTCCTGTGGCTTTTCTCCTCTCATAACTCTAAGTTCCTCGGGAATCGGCGGCGAGCTGCTGCTGTGAGGCTTCACTGCTAGGAAGGTCAAGCCTGAGAGCAGAGACCTTACAAGTTCAATTTACTGTGAGACAGGCCAAGAAAAACCACGTGCACTTCATGGGGCTCAACGCCCTTTCTTTACTTTCAGTCAAAAGAAAACACGTCATCAGTCACTGGCGACAATCATTGAAGGAGGTCTTTAGGGCAAAATTTAATAGCATGAAGAGGTTTACAAAAATAGATTGATGTTATTTTGAGAATAATACTGTAAATTTTTTTCTTAATTCAGTTTTGATAAATTGTACCTAATACAAAAATTCCCCGAATTCAAACTTGATATAAAAAAGAGATGAAATGAACTCAGTTAGATGATAGATCTGGCAAAATAGAAGAATGAAGAGAATCCTACAAAGGGCCCTCGTCTCGCGTCCCGATGGAGAAGCCACTCTCGCCCGCAGCATCTCCTCCTCAGTCAGCACCGAGTGCTGCGTCGCAGTCACAGCAGGCGGAGCCCTCTGTCTGAGCGGCCGGCCGCCTGGCTCCCGACTGGAACACGGGCGCCTCTGCCCATTCCGTCCACGTGGACGCGAGCCCACGGCAGGCATCCGAGGGGCTGGAGGTGGAGCGGGCTCTGCCGGACCTAAGGCCCCGCTACACATCCTTGCCGACCGAGTTAGGCTTATTGAGCTCAACCCTGACACCCTTTTCACCTGCAAGACAAAGAGGCATTCTCACTCCGTGCCGGAGCTCACACCGGACACTGCACCCGTTCCTCCAGCATCCCGTGAGGCCGGTCTCGGCAGCTGCGGCCGCCACTGTGACAAGAGAGCTGTGCTGCCCTGCACAGACCTTAGCGGGCCGGCAGAGACACCTCAACAGGAACAGTGCCACTCAAGTCTATTCACTTAAAGCTACCTGACAAAACAGTCCTGAGAGCCACCGGCCGACCATAAACCATAGCTCTGAGAACACAAAGAGTGCACGAACATCCCAATTTTACATCACAGGACAGCACAGGCCACTGTCCTGGGATGTCCAGGCACAGGACAAAGCCTTGACCTACACAGCAGGCTGACCGTGGGACTCTACCCATGGTCCTTAGCTGGCAGAAAAGCTCTGCTCCCCTCTTCCACACTGACTTTCCTTGAGGCCACATGTGCTTTGGAGGGAATGTTGCGAAAGAAAGGGGTGTTCACTCACCTACAGGAGAAGGGGAGGGGCCCAGGGTGGTCACACAGAAGCTCAGTTTGTGCTTGAGTAGCTAACTCATGCCTGCCTCAAACCTTAGCCTGAGGTTTGGACAATTACAGCAGATAAGAATGAAGACTAAGGGGCTGGAGAGATGGCTCAGAGGTTAAGAGCACTGGCTGCTCTTCCAGAGGACCTCAGTTCAATTCCCAGCACCCACATGGTGGCTCACAACCAACTATAATGAGATCTGGTGCCCTCTTCTGCCTGCAGACACACATGCAGGCAGAACACTGTCTATATAATAAATAAATAAACAATGAAGAGAAATTCTTTTTAAAATAAGGGGATTAAGGAACCTGGAAGAACACTCCTGGACTGGGGCTTTGGGAAACACCATCCCCAGCTGTTCCAGCTACTCCCAGCTGTGTTTACCTGTTAGATATTTCACTTTAGCTCTTGCTCGCTCATCTGCATCAAAATACCAAACAGTTATTGCGTACCTGGAAGGGAATTTAAGATCGGGTCAGAAAGGTCTCTGGGAGGAGAGCGGCCCTGCCAGCCTGTAACACCCACAGCCTCCTTACACCGATGTGTAAGCGAGCAACACAGATGTGGCCTGTCCACCCTGCAGCTGAGCTCCAGGAGCCTCCACACCCACCCGGCCTGCATGGTCAGGAACAGATAAAGGAAGGGGAACTGTCCCGAGACAGGGACAGTGACTGGGATGAAGAAACAGAGCCCACAAGTCTAACATCCTAGACTCTGAGTCACCGAGGAGCTGCTGAGCCACACTCAAACTGCTAGGATTCCTACCAAAAACTTACACTGCTTTGGCACTGGGTTTGGCTGAACCTTTTCTTTCCGAAAAACCTCATAGAACTGGACTATTTTATTCCCCAGATAAATGTGGTGTGAAAGGTCTGTTCAGAGCCAAAGCGCGGCAGCACCTGCAGACGTCAACACTGGAGCAAGGGAATAGACACTGTAGGTGTGAATGTGAGCTTCAGGCCGTGGATTCCTCAGGGGAGTTGTCATTAGGTAAGAATCTGTGGATCCAGGCCAAACGTCATGGGAAAAGCAACAACCCAAATTAACGGCAGCCCAATGGTGTCACCCTGCTTGCAGAGTCAAATGCAGCAGCCAGGGCACCAGTGAGAATAGTGCCATCCATGGACCCTGCCTCTGGCCATTGGCTTACCGGCCCTGCCCAGGCTGCGCTCCTGTCCCTACCGTGGCTTCTTCCGGAAACAGGGCTGGACGGGTATTCTAAGTAGCTCTCCATGTGCGTGGCTAACTGCCAATCCAAATTCTGATGTCTGATCCTGGCCTTCCACAGCCCTCAGTCCTCTGTATAAAACTCCGATGCTTCCCTTCCCTCCACATGTGGCTTCCAGAGCTGCCTTTTACACACCCACCTCTGACTCCAGGCTTCAACAGTCTGCCCTGTGCCTGGGCTGCACTCCCCTAGCTGGGCTCTGGCCTCTGTGCCCTGGCCCAGGGGCCCCTGCCCTGACTGCACCGCTGGCCTCAGTGTGCCCTGCCTGGTTTCCGGGCTTGCTGTCAGGCACGCAGCTGCTACACTCTGTGAATCAGTGATGGGAGCACAGGCCAGACGCAGAAGAGGAAGGACACAGTGCAGGGCCCGGGACCTCGGCCATGGCCACTGACCTTGGCCCCTGGACATCCTGACATGTCCTCATCCTGAGGAGACTCAACTACACCAGCAACCTAGCTCTTCTTAGTCACAGGAAGCAGCAGGGAGGGTGGTCCCGCCACTTTCCTGGATAAAAACAGTCAAGCTCACTACAAATGTCTTCTTCACAACCATGCCCACAGGCGTGTCTCAACCTTCTCACCAAATCATAACAAATGGTAAAAGCAAACAAACAGAAAACCTACGTGAGAGCGTATTAATTAACATGAGCAGTTTAAAGTCCAATGACAGGGATGGAAAAACCCAGGCAGCTATTTTTGTGTTGTTTTCTGCTCGCTCTCTCTGCTACCGCCTGAGCCAGCCTTGAACTTGCAGTAGTTCTGATGCTGAGACGGCCCACATGTCTGCAGCCCCTGGCCCCTTTCATTTCTGCTCTCAGAATCATTTTTCAAAAGCTGTCCTTTTCCTTTTCTAAGTGTTCAGGAAACACCCACGTGATCCTGGACAGGCAGTGTCAGCAGGTGCACCGTTACTCTTCTAAAAGCAGGACCAAGTGTGAAGATGCACACACCATCACTACGCTTAGACCATAAACAGCTGTGCAACACCACGCCTGCAATCCCAGCCCTCGCAAGGAAGGCGGATCTCTGTGAGTTCGAGGCCAGTCTGGTCTACAAAGTGAGTCCAGGACAGCCAGGGCTACACAGAGAAACCCTGTCTCAAAACAAAACAAAACAAAAACAAACCCCCAAAACATCCCCCCAGGAAAACCTGGACAGCAGGCAGGTGTCCACAGACACTTCAGGGCTCCGCCTTGGACTCAGCCCTGCCCCTGCCACACTGCCAAGCAGGTTTTCACGAGCGGAACACTACCTTGTAGCGTATGCTGGCTGCACTTCGTGAGGGTTGCGCCGGTCAGACCAGAAGAACAGCAGTCTATCAAACTTGGGTTCAATGTCGGCAAACTGGGCTTTGCCTTCCGGGAAAATTCGAAGTATGCCTCCACTTACCTGGGAAAAAGAGCAAAGCACCTCAGTCTGGGCCACCAGGCTAAGTTGGGGATGGGGTGGCATTAAATGACTCAAAATGCTTAGCTGGATTATTTGTAAAAACAATCGTGTTGGTTACCAAGGTGTGCTGGCGAGCTGAGTCGCCGTGTACAGCATGGATGTGTGGGAAAGTCCCTTTTGTTATAAGCACACGGAACAAACACACGGAATCTCCACAGTTAGTGTATCTGAGTGTTAAAGAGCAGCGGGCATTTCCAGTCAAGGCTGACGCCAGCCAGCACGCCCTGCCAGACAAACCACCACGGTGCTGCGGCCTTCAGCAGACGCTGAGCGGGGCTTAACTAGCTGCCTAAGTTACCTTTATTTCTTAATCGTATGTATGTGTGGCAGCTGGAGGCCAGCTCTGGGGAGTTGGTGAGACCTATGGACCGATCCTAGTCCTCAGGCTGGGTGGTGGGGACTGGCTGGCAGACTCACCTCCCTCCCAGCTCATTCTGCACCCTGCTCTCCCCATGTAGCCTGCGTCTAAGTTCTAATCACAGTCGCTCAACTCCAACCCATACAGCTCATCTACCCAGAGCACAGCTCTCTGCAGGGCCTGGAGAGTGGCCCTGGGCAGTTTCAGTGCGCTGGGGGCCATGGGAGCCCTATGTGCTGAGCAGAGGACCCACACGTGGCCCCGACCCTCGTGTCTTACTCTCTGGGGAAATTCACTTGATTAGAGCCACCAATCCGAAGATATTTAGCTACTTGGTAGTAACCCGGCCTGGCCTCTGACTGCCATGTAGCCAAGGGTGACCTTAACCTCTGACCTCCCCAAATGCTGAGCTCACAGGCATGCACCAGCCAGCCCAGCCAACCAATGCTCCCTGGCAGTTGAACAGCACTCAGATGCCTTGCTCCAGGCCTGGCCTAGCGCTCAGAGTTGGACAGTGATCATCCCTGATGTCACCACTGGGAATGTGGCTTCCTTGCTTTTGCGTGTCACGGGATCCCAAGGCTTCTTGCAAATACTTAAGAGACCTGCCAGACTGGACGGGCAGACACCATCCTCTTTCCCTCACCCTGCTGCTTAAGAAGAACCGGCTGGCTGACACTCATCTCCCAGTGGACACCTTCCCTGACCGGGGCAGCCTCCCCATGTCACTGAGGATGGCCTTGAACTCCTGAATCTCCTGCCTCCACCTCCCACGTACAGGGACTCCTGGTGTGCTCCACCAGGCTCATTTCCACGGTAGATTGCACCGGGAATTCCACCATGTCTTAATATGTTAGTGTTTGTTTTCAAACACTAACACAACAGTATCTGTTTCATGTCACAAAAATCCACTGAGTGTCAAAACCGTAAAGGACATGAGAGAGAACTACAGATATCTGTGAGGGGGAGAAAACAAAAACATAGCTTGAGGAAAAACCACCACTGCTGAATTCCATTGCATACCTTGGCGTCCCAGTCTTTATTTAGATAATATATACACGTCACACATCTTCCATCTCCGTTTGGGTTATCAACATGACGGACGTAGCCTGTTCCATTGCCTGGATAACAAGCAACCATGGCCTGAAAAACAACAAGATAAATGGTCCAAGAGGGAACTCAGGAGCGTAGCTTACAAGACAGAACTCCAAGAGTCACCCCACAGAATGTGTGTGGCAGGTCCAATTCTGTGGTAAGGAGAGCTGAGGGTATTCTGTGCTGACTTAACGGAGAGCACAGCACAGGCCAGTGAACACCCAGGTGTGGAGAGCCCAGGTGTGGAGAACACAACTCATTGGCCGCTTAGCAGCGATGGATGAGCCAACATGGAGGGGCAGGGGCCAAATGGGAGACCCTGAGCTGTTGCAAGCCAGTGGTCCCTGTTTAAATAACAGAAGTGAGGAGAGTTTCTGGGCTTCACTGTCCTGACTGTTACACACTCTGGGAACTAAGAAGGCAAGCTTCTGTCCTGCTCACAGCAGTTCTGCCTTCCCCAGCTAGCCTTGGAAGCAAATGTGAGAAATGAAGCCCCTGCTTTTGGCTGGCTGATCCAGTTTAGATGGCCAACTGCATATCCTCTCATGTTCCATCACCGAACAAAGAAAATTCAGCCTCAGTGACGGAGACTAAGCCCTCTTGGGTGGAAAAGGAAACCAGGCTGTGTTAAGCTCATCAACACGCAGCTTGGGACCGTTGAGCGTGATACGGGGAGGCGTCCTCAGAGGCACCGAGTGCCCGTGTTACTAATGCTGGATGGAAACGCTAGCGTCAGGAGGAAAACAGGGTGCTGCTGGGTCTCCACTCATGTCGAGGGCCCAGACAGGGGCTCCGTCTCCTACCGTTAGACTTCTGTACGTGACAAACGCTAATTTTTTTCTCCTTGGTATTTGTGATCTTCTTTTACCAGCCCTTCAAGGGCACAGATATCTGAATCGATAGTGTAACTTGGATATCATTTTTGACTGAAATTCATGCCATCAGACACTTAAAAGGCCCCAAAAGGCTAAAGGAAAGAGGCAAGCAGCAAACCACCAGGTCAAAAATGAGAGGTCCTCAAAAAGGAGAGGGGTGAAAGGTTAAGCTGCAGTGCCGCTGTGTCTGTAAACTAGCCACCCTCTGCTTCTCATCCGACCGGCAGTGGTTCGGGTGTGGGAGAGTGTCGGGATGGATCCCCAGAAATGACTGCTGAGTGCCTCCAAGAGTCACCGACTGCGAGACTTAGATATGTGGCAATGTCCACAGTCAGCTGGTCAGCAGTTTGTCTGCAACAGACGGGGAAGCTTTATGAGCCTGAATCCTGAGCTCCAAATGTCACCTCCCTTGACACCTTGAGCTCCTGCTCCCCAGGATGGGCAGGGGTGCTGGTCGGCGTCCCAAAACATCCCTATTTTTCCTGACTCAGGATGGGCATCTGTTTTAGTATTAGTGACCAGTAATGACAGAATGGCCTGGGAGGAGGGGTCTCAGGCTGCTCAGCAAGGAGTCCATCACCTCACCGGCCATGACACTGGTCAGGGCACCAGCTCAACAGCAAGATCCTCCTGCTTGCAGCTAACAGAGAATCAAAGAGTGGGGCAGGGAAACTGAAAACCCGAGTTGTCTCCTACTGTGGTCTCATTTCAAAAAAACAAAGTGGAACCAGGAGGTAGCAACCCCCACCTTTAACCCCAGCACTGGGTGGCAGGTGCGTCTCTGAATTCAAGGCCAGCCTGGTCTACAGAGAAACCCTGTCTTGAAAATAACAAAACAAAACAGACAAACAAACAAGCAAGTGAGCTGGGGGTGGCGGGGTGGGTGGCTCAGTGAGTAAAAGCCATCTGCTGTGAGCCAGCTAACCTGGAATTCAGTCCCTGGGACCCATATAAAGGTGAAGAGAAATGGCTCTGCAGGGCCCCCACATGTGAACAACCCCCCCAATAATAAACAACAATAATAATGAACTCTAAAGATTTAAGTCAGTTTGGACCTCTGTACCTCCCTGGTATTCCGGCAAAGAAGAGCAGAAGAAGTCCCCTTGTCCACACACACTGGCTGGCCATCCATCTAGCCATTGAGCAAATATGTTTTCAGACTTACTACACATATGCACACAAATACAGGCCACGGGACTAACATGATGATCAAAAGAGGGCAAGGCCCTTGCCTGCACGCATTCATGCATGCATGCATTCATCTGGGTTTTGGAGATAAGGATTCACTATGTAGCCCAGGCTGGGCTGCTGGGATCACAGGTGTGTACTGTGGCTGGCTGTTCTTGTTTACACTTATTATGAACTCTAGGTCAGTGGTGTCACCCACAAATGTGTACCACAGGGTTAGTGTGGTGGCGATTCTTGGCTGTCAACTTGACTACATCTGGAATTAACTAAAATCCCAAAATAGCTGGGCATGCCTATGAGGTACATTTGCTTAATCAAGTCATTTGAAATGGGAAGACCAGCGTCTGATCGTGATCTCTGAGGTGAGAAGACGCACCTCTCCTGCAGGGCACTTCTGCTGGCAGCCTGTATAACGGCCCGGAAGGAAGCTTGCTCCTTTTGCCTGCTTCCCCACCCTGCTCCCGCCATTCCTCCTTCGCTAGCATTAGAGCCTACTTCTTCGGGCCGTCCAGCCTCATGGACTTAATAATCGCTGGATTCTTAGACCTCCCGCATAGAGGTAGCCGCTGTCTGATTAGCTGGCCCACAGCAGAACCCTGACTAAACCAGCTAGGTGATGGGAAGTTATCTTTTCCTGAGATAGGACATTCTAGGACAGTGCTTTCTGCTTTTGGAAGCTGGCTGGTGACGGGTCAGGAAGGGCGATCTGATGAACCACAGCCGTGCCTGGGCATCACACAGGACGGCAGGCTGGCACACTGTGGCTGAGCAGGCAGGGCCCCGAAAAGGCAGAAAGGGAATCAGCAAACTGTGGCTGCTGCTGGGAAAGCAGAGGAAAGCCAGGTCTGAAGATGCCACGTCTAGGAGAGGACAGGAGAATCGCTTACTCACAGCCCAACCTGAGCGAAGAGAGGAAAGCCTCAAACAGAACAAAAACAGGGCTGGAGAAATGGCTCGGTGGTTAAGAGCACTGGTTGCTCTTCCAGAGGTCCTGAGTTCAATTCCCAGCAACCACATCATGGCTCACTGGGATCTGGTGCCCTCTTCTGGCATGCAGGTGTACATGCAGATAGGAGCACTCATATATGTAAAAATAAACAAATCTTTGAAAAACCAAAAACAAGCCCTAGACAGGCTAGGAGCCAATGGTGAGCACACCTCCCCAGTGCTTTACCATCAGACCTGTACTGCCTCCCGTGGAGGCCCGGCACCACACGGCAGCACTTACAGATGCTCACCCCGGCCAGGCGCACTCTAAGTAGTGTATCCAACACACCAGGCAAGGGGCCCCTATCCTCGCTCTCATCCCCATCCGCCTGCCCAGGACACGAAGGCCAGAAAGGCAAGTTCTCAGGGCTGGTGATGGGTGGATGCGGGAAAGTGGTTCCAGAAGCCAGTCCCCGACTGAAGGGTCGGCAACTGGCGAAGCGGTCTCTGAGAGAGGCAGCAGCAGAAGGCAGGGCTTCTGTTCCCTCAAGAGGCTGGCAGGGGAAGAGAAGAGGGATGGCTCACAGCGGGGGGTGATGAAGCGGAGTGTGGATGAAGGGGTTTTTTGGTGGGTTTTTGTTTGTTTGAGACAGGGTTTCTCCATGTAGCTCTGGCTGTGTGGATGAAGTTTTAAAGAAAGTTTTTATTTCAATTCAGGGTCCACTTAATTCCAGTCCCTGAGGTCTCCCCACCACCTGCACCCAGATGCCCCGCTGCTCGGGGGACAGGGATACAGATAGTGGGGGACAAAGCCGGCAGCGGGCCACAGCAACAATTCAGAAAGCTGCACCGAGGCCCACACGAGCCTGCAGATGAGCAGTCGGAAGACGAAGCAGTTTGACCTCCCCCCCCCCCCCCCCCCGTGGCCCCTGACCTAACAGCACCTCTGGGTGTCTCCATTGCTGGGAGGAAAACACCAGGAGAAGCAAGCTATGCAACTGTACTTTCCCTCCTTTCTGATGAGAGGACGCACGAGAGAGGACCCTCTCACGCGGGAACACCAGAAAGTTGTTTCTTCTCACCCAGAGAATGGAAGGAAGGAAGAGGACGGCCATCCTGCCTGGACGCCACGGCATTCACTTCTCATCAGGTAACATTTCTTTGCCACCCCTCTTCTTTCTGGGGTGAATTATTTGGAAACGGATTGTTTGAGGGTAAGAAAACTAAAACCTGGCAGGCTATGAACTTATTTTCCCTCTGAGAGGCAAAGGTCTGCTGCTGACAGCTCACCCTGTCCGAGCTCCTCGTCTCAAGCAGGTACACTCAGGAGAAGCGAGGCTGGCCTTCGCCATGGCCCTACCAGTTTACCCGGTGTTCACTGCCAAACCCGCAGCTGTGCTGGGAGCGAGCCTCCTTTGCTGCTTACACCGTGCTCGCCCCGTACAACCCCGGATGGTCTCACACCCAAGAGCACTGGGACTCCAGGCACGCACCACCACACTTGGCCACGTACATACGTGCACGCGCTCAAGCACACACCAAGCCAGGCCTGAGGACCAGCTTCACCCTGTGTGCTGGTTGCGTGGCACTAACTGCTGCATATTTACAGGAACGCTCAAGTACACACTGCAGGCGGCTGCACACGCACAGCCCTGCACGGCGGTAAGAGTGTTTCCTAACTACCTCGCCAGAGACTTGCACACAGCCAGCAACTGTCTGTGTCTCTCGAACCCTCGTTCCCACTACCCCTGAAGCCATTGTCTGGGCCCTCATCCTCCCTCTTCAGAGCTGCCTGTGTGTCTGGGCCACAGTTTTCCGTTAGCCTCGGTTTATCCCAAAGACTGCTGGGATTCCAGCAGCTGGTCTACCCAGGTCATCTGACCAGTGCCACGGTATGTCACGTCTGCAGGCTTCACACGCTGCTACTCGGACATCCTGACAGCATACGAAATCTACTCTAGTTCCACAGGGCGACAAGACCCAGCGCTCACCAAAGCAGTGGATGGGTCTGGGAAGAACAGGGCCACAGCTGTAAGGACACGAGTGAGTCACTTGCAG